TGATACATTTTCTTCGATGCAACTTCTCAGTGTAGTGCAAGAAATTTATTTTCTAGGGCTTCCTAGGCTGCGTTTCACAAAAAATCCGAATACACTTGTACTGGTTCGACGCAGCTTTAATCAAACAGCGGTGTGGCTTAGAGTCCACGAACTATAAACAGGGGGAACCCAACGACAATTTTCGGAAAATATCTGTTCGGAAGACGATTTGAGATCTAGAATTTGCGGAACATTTTTTCCAAAATTTCTTGCTTGTCTGCCTCTCCTAGGATTTTCGAACATCTAAAAAATAGTACAATTGCCCATTTTTAACCGATTCTTACCCTAAAAAGGTCACCTACAACTTTCGGGAGCCTTTTTTCTAGCTGAAATTTTCGAAAAGGTAAGCCTTTGTTGATCCCTATAATTTTCGAATCCCTAGACTTTCAGCTAGGAAATCCGAACATATGAAAAATTTTTAGGGGATAAAAATATGCCTATATTTACCGTTTTAATACTAAAATACGTTTAACAATGCTATGTTTAAGTGGTTTTGAACTATATTCTCGTTGGGTGCCCCTGTATAAACTACCCTGAGAACAGAGATTTCTCACTTGCATGGCTTTAAGCTTGACGATGTCGTTTTCGTCGCTAGTTTTCGTCGCAAACAGTCTAGGAAAAGATGTCAACAGATATTAAGAAATGCTTAAATCAGACCCAGATATTCGGATAACAGAACCACGATATCTATAAACGAAATAAAAGAATGAACTTTTTATATTATTAATAGGTAACGCATCAATGCCCGACTGTCATCAACACTTCAACCAGTGGCGTACCAGGGGTCCCTGGGGTCCCTGGGGTCCCTGGGGTCCCTGGGCTCAATGGAAGAGATGGGGCCAAGGGAGACCAAGGACCTGTAGGGCCACCAGGAGATAAGGGACCTGTAGGGCCACAGGGAGACAAGGGCCTTAGAGGAGACCAAGGATCAGCAGGATCACCAGGAAAAATGGGACCTAAAGGGGCTAAGGGTGAACAGGGTAACCAAGGCCTGCAGAGAAACTGGAAACAGTGTGCTTGGAAAAACATCAATGAGGGCAAAGACAGTGGATTGATTAAGGTAAAATGGCTAATTGATAGTAATTTATGTGTTTTCTTTATGTTTTTTACTCTTAGAATTTCCACTAATTTCGTAATGTTTAATTATCTTATGGACTTTTGCCTTCTATTTGCATTGATATATAAACAATAGCTTTGTCGTCAGAAATGAAAAATAAGGAGAATTGAAAAGAGCTAAATAGAAATAAATTACTATAGGCAAGCTCACTACATTTAGGGATAATTTTACATCTCTCAACTCAATTCTTATTGATGTCAACCTCGTCGACGTTTTTATTGGTGTACAATGGTACAACGTGTTATATTTACCCAATATGTACCATACTACAAAAGTGTTTTCAGGGTTATCAAAATATCAAAACGTCACTTGTATGGCTAATTGGTAATCCCTAAATTTATTTTCTGTACGAGAACGTTAGTGCAATTAGGTGTATGAAAATTTAACATTTTTAATTTCTTTTTGTAGGATTGTGTTTTTAAAAAAGTAGCCGATAACACAGCCTTGAAAGTGGAGTACAATGGTGACTTCAGAATCGCCTACTGTCTCGATTGTTGCTCTCGTTGGTTTTTCACCTTCAACGGTGTAGAGTGTCGCAAACCTTTCGCCATTGATGGCCTGATGCTTATTTATAGAAATCAAGGAAAAACAGACAGCAACATTCACAAAGTTACTCAGATTGGAGGATACTGCGAAGGAATCGCTAAGGGAACTGTTCGAGTGGGTTTTAATGTCGGTAGTTGCGTGGGAAAGAAAGCTGCAGATGCTTTTACTGGATGGAACTCCGTGGCCCGAATCATGATCGAGGAAGTTCCCCCATCTCAGTAAGAGGTCAAGACAACAAACTCGGAGGACATTCACGGTCCTTTGCTTTGAGCTTTGCCTGACCATTGATGGCCTTGATAAAAACTAAATAGGAGCCACATTTACAGTGCAATAAGTAATGGGGATGTATACGGCTCAGTAACTATTAAAAACATTACTATTAATCAAACAGTAGTTGATTGTTGACTTTCCGACCACGCTTACAATGCCAACTATTAACAACTTTCTTTCATTTTTTTGTCCCAACGAAAAATGTGATAAATCTATGCAAATGAAAATATGTTAAGGACAAACCGTTTTGTCCGGATGAAAAAAATGTGTGTTTTAACTTCACTAATTTTTGGAAAATTAGGCTATCTGATAATTCATGACATGCTTTTTATAAACAAGATGAAACCAAGCTTAAACATACATAGCTTTCTACGTTTGAAATGAATGTACACGAAGTTTAAAATTACAATTTTAAATAATTCAAGATTATATCTGGGCATTTAAAATGTTGTTTACCCTTACAAGTTTTTATTGAAGTGCAATGGATGGTCATTCCAAGCGTGAATTGTTAGAAATATGATTAATATGAATAAGAAAAATGTCGTTGCTTGATTTCTTATCTTGAACCCGCCACCAATTTTTCAATTATGTACGATTTTTAGCAAAATAGTCACGTGACATACCACGTGACTTATGAACACAATATTTATACTTTAAAATGTTAAGGACGATGAGTTCTTTATGAGTGCCAAATTTTGATTCAGCTTCGTAATCTGCGCCGAAGTTATAGCCGATAAATCATTTTCCACAGGAAAACCCCATGAGCATTTTCCGCTTTTTGAACTTAGTTCAGCTACAATTAAGATCGGCGTCTGAATCAATTCAGCGGAATTTAATAATTTGGGTCGGCCTTAATTCGAATTAGGTTCGCCTCATGAAAAGTTCGGCATCTGAACCGGGTCTAAGAGACTGTATCAAAGTTCAGGGAAGGAAAAAGGAAGTTGTTGTCTTGTGTTTCCGTTCTCGACAAGACGTGAAATTAGGCATTTTCATGTCGTTGTCGTGCAATGACGGCAAAAAAATGTGCAAAAAAGAGTGATATATAAACCTTCGCTGTGGCTATATGGCCGGTAACCGGTCAAGGTTTTCAAAATACTAAATGACGGGCAGCACTAAAACATGGAATCCGGAATCCGGAAACGGAAACGGAATCACGGAAACGGAAACGGAAACAGAATACGGAATCAAATATCGATGAAAGAAAATTAAAGAATTTCACAATACACAATTTTGTACAATCCAAAGAGAATTTGTCTTAGTTTTCTTGGCAGTTCCCTTAAATATATTCTTGTTATTGTGTCTTGATAAGGTTTGCCGTAGTGTGGGTTACTGTACTGCAAGGCCGATGAAAGTAATTTTACGAGTAATTTTTATTCACGAGTTCATGGGTTGAATAATACAGTTAAATATTACTTTTGTAGCTAATTGTCAAGAATAGTCGAAGTTAGCCTCAGACCACACCACGTGATTGTCCCCAAACTGAATACTCCACACATGACCGACCGGTGACGTGACCACAGTTCCGGTGTTTTAGCAATAAGTTCAACTTTTTCGCCAAGCTGAATACTGATAGAATACTGGTGTACCGGTAATTGAGTTTACGTGGACGTCCGTATTTTTGTTGAAGAGGCTTATTAAACATGGCGCATTATTTTGATGTAATCGGTTGCGGAATCAAGCAAATGCATGCACAATTCTCTCTTCTCTTTGGACTCCACAATGCCATGGTTCTCTTGAGTAAGTTGTCTTGATAAATAAAACTGAACACTGTTGAAGACAACCCGGAAAAGACACTGAGAAAAACTTGACGGCGACGCCTTTCAGTTATGTAAACGACGCCTCAGACGATTCAAACGAAGTCTGTCTCCATATAACTTACCTTTTTCTTAAGGCACTAGTTTTTGTCAGTCACGTTTTTCTCCTCGCTTTGCTGTCCCATGAGAATTTGCATTCATTGCCGACAGTGGTATCAAGCGTCTTTTCACCGGAATAGACTCCTCTAGTGACACAGCAGTCTCCTCTCCTGTACTCAGCTAATTTATTCATTTGTGCCTTTTTTTTTATCTGTTTATTTATTTCATTGTCATTGCTAATATTATTTTTTTCAAATCGATCGCTTGGAACCTTCTTTCACAGATTCCGTATTCCGTTTCCGTTTCCGTGATTCCGTTTCCGTTTCCGGATTCCGGATTCCGTGTTTTAGTGCTGCCGCTAAATGACCGGCAGTTCTATATTCTCAGTAAATTTCACAAAATCGAAAGATTCCAGCTAATCTAAACTATCATATGTCGATTTAGAAAAGTCAAGCGATCCTGAAATGCTTTAAGGATCTCAAGTCTAGTGTTTGGTTTGCGCTGGGCTCAGAGGAGGAAATCATGTTTTGTGACACTTAGAAATTTTTGCAGCTCGACTGCCGGTCAAGGTTTTCAAAACACTAAATGGCCGGCAGTTCTATATTCTTAGAAAATTTCACAAAATCGAAAGATTCCAGCTAATGTAAACTATCATACGTCGATTTAGAAAAGTCAAGCGATCCTGAAATGCTTTACAGATCTCAAGTCTAATCTTTGGTACGTTGAACCATGTTTTGTGACACTTTTCAGCTCGACTGCCGGTCAAGCTTTTCAAAACACTAAATGGCCGGCAGTCCGTTATTCTCAGTAAATTTCACAAAATCAAAGCATTTCAGGATCGCTTGACTTTTCTAAATCGACTCCTCTATAAAACGCGAAATTAGGCATTTTCACGTCGTAGTCGTGCAAAAACGGGAAAGAAATGTACAAAATAGTGTGATGCACGTGCGAAGTTGTTGTTTTGCTTATTAAACCTATTGCTTTTTTGACGTTCTCGTTGTCGTCCGCGTCGTTGGATCTTAAAGTCCCTTCCCTATTGGTGATGAAAGCGAGAAAACTCGGTTCCAGTTTTGTTCCCAGGCACTGGCGGTCAGCCAAAGCATTCTGATACAGGACTTTGTTTCGGCCACCAATTTTGATGAAAATATTTTACTCCTTGCTTTTCCAAAGTTCTCTTTATTAGATGAAATTTTTGATATGGTAGTTAAACGATGCCCTAACTGCGATCAAACGGTAAGCAACAAGTGATAATTATTGTAATGTAAAGGAGAAACTTAGGAATTAAGCTTATTGAAGCTTTAAAATATGCGCGGCCAGTAATAAATTTAAGTTTAATAGATTGAAGTTTATCGATTTGTGATTTGTCTAGTTTTCGATTTCGATAGTTGCCTTCTCAATGTATTAAGTTGATCCCTTTTTTCAAATATTATAGTTTCTTTAAATAGTATTCAGTACATAAAAAAGAGCTTTAGTTGCAAAATCTTCAGTTTAAGCTCGTATTTCATGATATTTAATCACCTCTGTGTCAATAATTCAACCACGATTTCTTTCTCATGAGGAAAGACTAACATATAGGCATGTGAATATCACTCAATAATACTTGCGTTGACTTTTTCATATAGATCATTAAACGCTTCGTAAAATCACCATATAAAATTATGCACCAGTTATTTGAAACCCTCGGATCCCCCACCCCCCCCTCGGGGATGAGCGGGGTAAAGCGGGGCCTTTTACTTCATACTCACTCCATTTTTGTTCCCCGTCAAGTGGGGGATATGCTAGAAATCACGGTCCTCAGTTCCCTGACCAGGGAATAAGCGGGGCAGTCGCTCTGTCATCAGCAGTTTTCATTTTCGTGGCACATGGTAACATAACTTTTAAAACAACCATTTCTCTTCAAAAGATATCAATTAAGATTTCATATATCACAGGACATAGTAGCTGTTACTTTTGGATAAATAGTATTTTGCTTAGAGTATGACGATAATAGCGAATCCTTACCTAAAATAATGTATGAGAATAATTTATTGGCCGAAATTGCTTTAGCACTTACTTTATTTGAGACCAGAATCGCCTTCTTGTACCAAGGTACGAGCCAAGATACACAAAAGATTCTCTCTCATATATATAGAGGTGCATTGTCATGAAAACTTTGTTAACTGCAACGACAAGGAAGCATCTTTGACCCAGAATTTTAATGTGTGTATGTATGTATAATTGTCAGTACTCCGCATCATTGTAGTTGTCTGTTGTGTTTCATCTGGGGCTATTTATACGGGGAAAAATAAGACACATCTTAGATAAGACTTAAACTACACCATTTCAGAGCATATAAAGTGTGTCTTATAAATTAGCTGAGTTGTGTCTTATTAAAGATGCAAACTGATTTTTTGTGCCATTTATATGAGGTCCGCGTCTTATTTTTCTTGTATTAGTGGCCTTATGGTTTATAAAAACTTCGGAAGACTGTGAAGCATCAGTTTTAATTTTACAGCTATAAATATATTTTTCATCCCTTTTTATGCTTCGCGATAACAAGAAAGGGTTGACAGTTGCGGGTCATATTAGTGCAGGGAAGTTCACCATTCACTTTGGCCCCAGGGAAAGGAGAACTCAATTGCTTTCACTTGCTACAAAAGTGAATGCCCTGGTCATCCCCGAGATTGTGGTGGGGGTTCCGCGGGTTTCAAATGACTGTTTCATTACCGCATAAAATTGGGTGCAATGTGATATAATCTTTAACTGAGTTTATTACTCCACTTTTTAATTTTTAACAAATGTTTTCCTAGGAACATATTTATGCATGAATGAAGCTTTAACATTTTTAAGTTTTAGGTATCTGTTTAATAGTATGTTCTACCTGCATTGCTTAAATGTGATCATAAGAGCAATAAATTATTGTTATTATTATAATGAGCCAAGGACTAGTTATTATAGTAATAAAAAAAATATTATAAAATTATAGTTTTGTAATTAAATTATCTGTTAATCAGCTGACGCCCTATGTAATATGGCTGACACTAGTGACTTCGAGTCTGAAACTATTTTACCCATAGTTATTATTGGCTGATCCCATAATTTCGTGAACATACTTTAAAAAATTGTCATAGAGGTTCTTAGGAGAATCAGTGGCAGATAGTGGGATAAACAAGTAGGAAAGGTCAAAATTGCCATGTGAAGGGTTGAGGAAAATGTGGGCACTTTCTGTTCACTGCATTGTATCACCATGATACCAACATTATTGTACCAGCATTGTACCAATGAACCAGTATGTATTGTAACCTGATAGTACTGGCCTTAGTACAGTGGACCTTGTTGAAGGACTGGCTGGCTATAACATGAAAATAAGTAGATAAAAATGTATAATAACTGCTGTCTTTAGAAATGAAGTTGCATGCTGCATTTCTTTATGTTTCAGCTCCCTGTTGCATGCAAGTCTTGTCCATGTGGCCATGTTTTTATCAGCCGAAAGTTGCATCAAGTGCAAGTTAAAAAAGAGCAAGGTAATAGGTCAGAAATTGTAATATAGCTGTACCGAAAATGCCCCCAGCATTTTACAGATCTAAAGATGATGGTAACATTGAAACAATGCATAAAACGTTTTTGCTAATTATGTTCTCTAATGTGCAATGAGACTCAATTTAATGTTTCTTTTTTCAGGGGAAGGTTTGAATGGTTCTGAACGAGATAAAAGACTTCGTCCTGAGAGGCCAAAAAAGGAAAATCCAGATTTTGACTATGAATTTTCGCTTGTCCCAGAAGACCTTGTGGAGCGTATAAAAACAGAGCAGATGCCTTGTCCATTGCCTCAGCAAAGTGTTGTCAACTTGGAGAATGTACAGGAAAAACAAATAAATCTTCCCCAGGTAGCTGTGAAAGAAGTGTCTACTGCTAACATTATTTAATTTTTGATGGTGGTCAGGAATTCAAGTGAAATTCAAAGGAAAGTTGTCCGTTTAGTGGGCAGTGATTCATGATAGAATACCCATCAAATCTTGGGTGCAGTAACTAAAGGTCCTTGCTATTAGAAACTCTGGTTAAGCAGCATTCCATTTATTTTATTTATTTGTTTATTTATTTATTTACATGCTTAGTCACAGACAAAAGGAGTGGACACTCACAGAGCAAGCTCCACTGCTAAGTCCAGAAAAAAAAAAAATTGCAAATAATACTAAAAGTAGCAAATTATAATGACAACACACAGGTAAAAACAATAGAGAGACAGAAAATAGCAAACAGAATAGAAACAAACATGAATAGAAGAATCAACACTTTAATTTGATCAAGCAGTGTGGTTAATGGTAGACTTAGGTGTGGTACATTTATACACACTCTGACATTGTATGGGTTTGGGGATTGTCGACACAAGTAACAGTCTTATTGATCCTCATATAGTTACAGTAAATGTTTGGAGATGGGATGGTCTTGCATCGATAAAAGAATATCATTAAATGCATCTAGACAAGCCTTAACTAACGTAATAAATCTAAAAGTTAATGTCACATGAGAGAGTCTTGAATCTTGTAATGTTAATTTTTTTGTAGCTTCCTCCCACTCTAGATGGTGTGGTTCTGCCTAAAAAGCGTGGACGTCCCAAAGGATCGAAAAACAAGGTGAAAACTGAAGTCAGTAGAGATGTTGTCCCAACTCAAACTCAGGTACATTGATGTCATATATTTTATGGACTATCCAAAGTCTTTTTCTAGAAATTGAATTAGTAAGCCCCATCAGCACATTTCATAGCCACTAGATTACAATTGGCACAGTGGGCTAGAGCGTGGACTTCTGTGCGGAAAGTTCTGATTTCGATTAAAATGGGTAAAATGAGTTCAACGCTGGCCTCAGGTTGCCTAGTCCCTAGGCCTCATCTGCGCGGCTGAAGTGTTTCGGGTCATGTGGTCCAAGCATAGTGAATTGACCAACAGGGACTGGGAAAACGCCGTACAGGGACTAGGCTAGGCCTCAGGTTCGTCAGGCCAGTGAGTATACCCTCATGAGTTACTGATGTAAAACAAGGACCTTTACCCTTTTTCCACAGCCTGTTCCACTGGTTGAAGATGGAGTTCCAGTCAAACGCAAACGCGGTCGACCAAAAGGCTCCAAGAATAAACCCAAGCCCCAGTCCCTTCTCTCACCAAACAAATCCGTTCAAAATAATGAAGAGGGAGATGACCAAACATCAAGTGGCTCAGACAACAGAGAACCTGTGGATGTCATGCCCTATATCTCACGTGAAAAAGCAGAGATGTACTCACTTATATTGATGGACATCAATCAAAAGATGATATCACAGTCGTGCATGAAGTTTGTGTGAAATGGTTGCTGTACATAGTTAGTATAATTATTTCTTGTAGTTCAATTTTATCCTGGTTTAATTTTTATTTTCTTTTGTTTCAAACTTATTATCATAAATTACCATACCGAAAATCAAAAGAAAATAAATATTAAACCAAGGATAAAATTGAACCACAACATATAATTTAGCCTTTATATTTATTTTTAAATTTAGAGTTTTTTTTCGTTGACAAACAGTAGAAAGTGAAAAGTAAGAGTTGCTTAATTAGTGGTCTAATTTGTGTTAAACCCTTGTTTTTAACAAGTTAGTGAATTTTTTTTACAAAGGTGACTATTTTTATTAAAAAAGATCTACAAGCTGGTAAATTTCTATTTTAAACCCCAATAATATCTCTTGTCCATGGATGCATATTCCATCCTAGTTGTGTATATAATATGGAGGGAAATAATAAGGTGTTTATTTTCACTGCCTTTAGCTTTCTGAGCGACATTGCATTATTGTATTTTTAATTTATTATATGGCTACAATATAGTATGCGCACTCTGATTGGCTGTTTTCTTGTAATGACCAGGTATTACTAGCTACAGTAGGTGTCCAAGGCATTGTACAATCTGTGTTTAACTTGATAGTGGACATCCTAATATGGACATCCATGTTTTGGTCAATATTTTCATTGGCAGCTGTCAAAAAGGTATCCACTGACCAGTGTCACCTGACTGTATCATGGGCTCAGGTGTACAACTCATTGAAGTGATGTGTTTTTTAAATTTATCCGTTGACCAGTTTTAATTGCTCACAGACAATAAAATAACTTATTAACCTCGTCTGTTTGGTCATTACAGGGAAATCTCAGACCTTCAAGGCCTTGGTCTGAGATTTCCCTGTAATGACCGAACAGACGAGGTTACATGTAATATGTATATCACTAGACTTTCAGCTAGGAAATCCGAACAGATGAAAAATTTTTAGGGGATAAAAATATGCCTGTATCTACCGTTTAAATACTAAAATACGTTCAACAGTGCTATGTTTAAGTGGTTTTGAACTATATTCTCGTTGGGTGCCCCTGTAATATTCCAAGTAGAAACGTTTAGACCGGCAGTACTGCCTTACTTAAGTTTGTCAATTAGAGGATGGAAAGGAGTAAAGAAAGTAAGTGCAATTCCTCCTTCCTTCGAGTTTTCTGATGCCCAGTCACAACTTACACTTGTTGATGAAAAGCTTATCCGTGTGACAATCCTGAAATCATGATCAGACTGCCAGCAGCGTAAGTGTCTGCGATTGCCAAAGAAATGTAGAAATCAATAATTACTTTGATACTGATCTCTTTGGTCTCTCAGAAGATATTAATTAAAATTATGTACAAAAGCTAGGTGACTTGTAAGTCTGGTACCCATATTGCAGAAGATATAGTTTTATAATACTGCAAGTTTAAATACATGTTAATACTATTTGTCAACTATTGAACATGTGTTGTTCAAAAATTATCTTGTTTATAAAGTTTTCTAAAAGGGTAAGGGAAAAGCTAGTTTTTTGGTTATTAAGTTAACATTTTACAAGTTCTGCTTTCACTACTTGATAAAGACCATGCGTAAATTATTTTTGATGTCAACAATTTACAGCAAGATGAAGTAGAATAACAATTTTATAAAAAATAAAATAAATTAAAAAGACTGAAACAAAGAAAAGAATAAAAGGAAAAAATGTTGCCATTAAAAAATATGTCATTAAATGACTTTGTACTATGAATCAGGTGCAGAAGACACGTGTTACCCTTATACTGCTTCTATGCTTCAGTGACATTTTATCTAATGCTGGATGTTTGAAAACTCTTGGATTTTCCGGGGAACAATATTCAGCAGTTAAAGTAAGATGTGACCATGTTTGCATTTTTACTTGGTTGAAAGGAAAATAGTGATGAAGGTCAGGGGAAATTAAGAGGAGAGGAGAGCAGAGAGACAGAATCAGTTATACACATAAAATTATTGTGATCAGTAAAAATGCGGAAATGTTTCCTCCCCTTGATCTTCCTAATTCCTCTTTTTTTCAGGACTTTATAAAGCTCTTTATTCTTGTGCTGTTGAGTAATTAAGGTGCCAGGTTTGCAATGTGGGTTCCAATGCTAGTTTTGGCTGCTTGCATTTCTTTTGTTTTCAAGGACAGAGCAAAGAAATTTGCAAGATTTTTGGACTCTTGGTCTCAGGTCATACAAATCATAGACGCTGTCAGATGCATGCAAGCCAATTATTCAGTCTTATCCAACACATGGAGGTGGGAATGGCCAAGGTTTCAGCAGTCAAAGTTTTTTTTAGAATTTCATGCTGATGCACGATTGCCAGTATCAAAACCTACCAACTACTCTCCTATGCACTCAGGGATTGTGTAATGACCAAAAATGGTTGTGCACCGGAGACTCACGGTACCCTAAACCTCTTGTTCACCTTAGTTTTCATAGTTCTACAAATGACAGCAAGTTTCTCAATTTTATTTCCTCACTCAAACAAGTCACACACATTATTTGCATTCCTAGACTTTAAAGAGATCATAAAGATACTCTTTAACCCAACATTTAATTTTACACAGGTTTGGAATTTAAGCATTGTACAATGCTATAATTTCTGTGGCATTTTTTTTTTATAAAAACGAATCAAAATGCAGGTCTCAAAAGGTTTTCTGTTCGGTATTATCCCCCCCCCCCATCCCCCCACTTTTACTATAAACTAGCCAGGATGTTAGTTATTTGACCAGGAGGAAGAAATCATGTGCACTTATGCAGTTGAACCTCTCTACCATAGCCACCTTGGGGACAGAAGAAAGTGGCTGTTGTAGAGAGGTTTTAAACAAAAGTCAATGTACGAATTTATTGTCTCCTGGGCAAAAAAATTTGCTGTTGTAGAGAGGTGGCCTTTAGTGGAGGTTCGACTGTATTCCCCTTCACTCTGAAATGCCTACCAGGCTAGTCTTGTCCTCATTTTGTATGATCTAAGGGATAGCTATTCCCCTACTGTACATGACCATAAACTTTGATAGATGTGGAAAAATACTTTCTGATAATAAATTAAGATATCACAATTTAACTGTTCATACACATTCCTTTTAAACTTATGGACAAGTAGACTTAAAAAATGTCAACCAGAAATAAATATAATTGTTCTATCTCAAGAGGGATATGCTTTTTTCTAAGCTTTTTCTAAGTGACATGATATTATTATCTGCAACATTGTTATACAGAAATTTCTTGAATTTAAGACTTTTTATAGAGTACTTTCCAACTCAGAGCTATGAGTCTTTCTTGAATCTGTTCTGAATCAGTGTATTATTTCTAGCCCTCACGAATTTGAAAATTAAAAAGACACTAGAACTTACAGAAACAAATATTATGAAACTCGTGTAAATTCTAAGGTCATTGCATGAGGCAAGGGAAAATTTAACCATCAGAGCCATATATAATTAAACAGGAGTTGTAAAAGGAGTAGTAGACTCAAATGAACTTTAGAATAACTGTTTAGAAGCAAAAAGTAGGAATTGTTCTAGTATTAAAAACCCCTTACACACATCCTTATTGTTTTGATTTCTTTCTCTTTTTGTAAAATAGTTTGAGCCAAATTCATTATCTTAATATTAATGAAGGCTCTACGATGAAAGTGACTATTTGTTTGTTGTAATCTCAGATTCGCCTTCTGTCTATATATTAACAAGCAACCTTCTGGGTTACGAGTAACAGTTGAACAGATGCCACTTCAGGCTTTTTCCATGCACTTCAGATCTCTAATTTTCATGCTAATAATGGAATTGTTGAGTTATAAACTAGAGCTGGGGTCCCTGTACTTTTCCATGAACTCTTGATGGAAGGCTTTCAAACGCTCAAACAGAGGCTTGAGGGCTTCAATTGGTGGCAGTATTGTCAACCTACAAAGGTACAGGGGGAAACAAGTAGTGAAAGAGTTGAATAAATCGCAGTAATATAATTTTAATAGTTTAAACAATTTTGCATAAATCACAAAAAAACCCTATGGCTAGGATTACATTAAAGCACTAATTATAAGCACATCTCATTCTGTCAATTGTAACTGGATAACCCCTCTAAAATCTCCTTGATTGTACTGAATCAACTTAATGACCATCTCCTGTTTAGTTTGTTTGTTAGCTCAATAATTTCTTTTGTGTGCTGCACTGGTATCACAGAGGTCAAGGGTTTGAATCCCTGTGCTAGTAATGTACAAGCATGAACTTTTTAAGGGTTTCATTAGACAACTGTGATTATCGTCTTTTCTTACATGTGAAATTCTTCATCCTGCAGTTCATTTATGACTCACACATTACTCATTCACATTTCATTTAAATTGTTTCATGGGTTTATGACAAACCAACTTAATGACCAGCTACCATGCAGAACTGGCTTGCTAGCCTAACTGGCAAAGTGTTGAACCAACAAATTATGCATTGCGTACAAGCCTGAAGTCTTCCAGGCTTTCTGTTCACAACTACGAAAGTTTCGGTTGCATCAACAACTGTGATGATCTTTTTTAATGTTAAATATTTGATTGCATTTTCTTTTGCACAAAAAAACTGTGTTCTGACTTGTTTTTGAGAGATTTTGAAGAAATACACTGTGGTGTTGGATAAATTTTGATGAACACTGGTCAACAACAAGGTGTTCAAGTTTAATCAATGCAGAAACAAAAAGTTGCATACAAAATCTGGTTTAGTATCTCTTACCTGAAGTGGAATGTTCCATCTCTCTGTCCAAAACCATTGCCAGGCACTACACACAGTCCTGTCTTTTCAAGCAACTCTAATGCATAAAAGCTGTCAGGGTGCATACCCTTAGCCTGTTAGGACAGGGAAAACAACAACAATAGCTCATATTACATTGTATTCACAATTTTGAGATGATCAAACAATAGTCAAAAAGGGCTACTTCCCCATATTTAAATACACGAGTAATGCAACACCATTCACATCTCAACACAAGAATTGTCAGAACTTCTGAGGACAAGATGTTTAACTTCAGAACGTCAACTGAAATGGGATGGTACAATAGCTCTTAAAATTCTAACAGGAATGGCTGAGAAAACAATAAACAAACAAGAGTAACAATGGACCTTATAGCCTTAACAGAATAGTCAGCTGTGTGCTATGGAAGATCCAATGAAATTGGAGGTTCTAGAGAGCAGCGTACTATCAGATTGAAACTATGCATAAAGATGTTGATGATCCTAGGGATTGTAACCTTAATTGCATTGGCTAAGTGTGAGGTCGAGATGGCTGGATATATGGCCAAGGTATTTTTTTTCTGTTTTTATGGACTGAGAGGAATTTGAGGCCAATAAACATGCAAAAAAGAACAAATTTTATTCTATGGCCTTATTATTGTATTATTTCCTTGCACAGTTGCTGGATCAATGTTGGAAAGCCTGAGTGGTCTTGCCTGCTTGAGTAGCCAATCAGAACACAGGATTCACTCAATCTTGCATGCTCACTAATTCAGCCATATAAAAATATCAGACAATATCTCTTGTACAATACCAAAAAATAACTTGAAAATAACAATACCTTGGCTTCATCTTGAGCCTTTTTAGGCAGAAATAATTGTGGAAATGCATACATAGCTCCCATCACTTCATTACACTGAAATCCCTCCATTGAGTTGAAGGTTTCTGCAACAAGTTTGGCTCGCTCCTTGAATGATTGAAGAACAGCTGTTTTCTCCTAAATGTGAAATTTAAGGAGGAGTTTATGATAGTTGCATAGAAAATTTAAGGAAATAATTTAGCTTTTTTTTAATTCTCGGTTTTAAATTACACAAATTTTTGACAAAAAAGTCGAATTTATAATTTATTTCTCGGCTGATTGTTTTTTTTTAACTTAATTTTTTTCCATTAGTTCTTTCATCTTAGTTTATCATATCTTAGAAATGAAATAACTCTGCCACTGCTCTCCACTTGTTTATGCTAACATAAAAACACATTCACCGCACTGTCAGAGAAAAGTCATAGCATTTTAATAAGTTTCACTGCAAATTAATAAAAAAATGTTTATAAATCCACTAGTTGCCTGAGTGGTGCACATTATAAGCAAGCACAAGAACCGATTATTTTCTGGTAAGGAGATAATTAATATTATTTTTGAGATGACAATTTAAATGCCTTATTTTATGTTGTGGTTCAATATTTTGTTATTGGTGTAATATGACAATGACTGAAACAGTTAAAAGGAAAATGAAAGCTGAAGCAAGAATAAAACTGAACCACATAGATCTTATACATTAGCCATGTATGTAAAATTTTTAAGAGAGGAGGATTTCATGCATGCAATTACCTTAATAAAAGTGTCATATGACTCATCTCCAGGTTGAGGGGGGCTAACAAGACAGTCCATCATAGCCTGAAGAAAAGCATAATTTATAATAACAAGAAATAACTTCAATATGATGATCAAGTTTTCAACACCTTACAGAAAAACTTCAACAGACACAGGTTCATTAAGCTAGCTATTCACTTAATACATGAAGACATTCCTGACAAATTAAAATTTTAAACCTTGAAAATGTACCATCACCAGCCCTCAGCTAATGATATAGATATCCTGATCAAGTATTCCAAAAACAAGGAAAGAAAGCAGAGAGAATTGTTTCCCTCACCTGACCGGTAATGCAAGAGCAAAGCTTTGCTGACATCATCTTTTTTAACTGTAATCTGACCTCATTATCCATTCCCACAATCTCCATGTACCCTCCCCTAAAGCCACACCTGAAAATGAAAAGGTAATAATGAAAAACATTTTAAGCATTCACCACTTTAATAACAAGAAGGAAACTAGGAAGTCCTGTTCATGCATCAGTAATGGGGACAGATAAAAAAACTGACTAACAGCTGACGGTTGTGACTACAATGGATACCTTGAAATCATGGACTAAAGTCTTGGGACACTTTTGTATTTCTGGGACATTTTCCAATCCACACAGGTCCAACCCCTCCCCTCACCCCACAAACAATGTTGGACGGGTATATCCAGAATTTTTTCCGTGACTTTTCAACTTTGTATGGGGTGGGAGGAGGGAGAACTGCAAGAAAATTTTGAAAAGGATGCACTGCTTTAAGAGGGAACCGAGAAATAACAGAAAAATATGAATATTGCAGTACTGTCCCAAGGACTTTTGTCCAGGATTGTAGAATGGATACCTTGAAATCAGGTTTGACTAGGTATTTTAGCTGAAATTTTTGTCTGCAAGTTATAATGTTAGGCCATACAGTGAAACCCTGTTAATACCGTCACCAATGGGCCAAAAGAATTTGGCCGTAATAACGAAGTGACCGTATTACCGGAGTGGCCATAACGTGGGGTTTCACTGTAAAAGGGCTTTAGTGTTCAAACAACAAATTATAAGCTGAACACTGTTGTCAAAATTTTGAGGATCATGTTGCAGGTAAAATGTTCTCAGGCTATCTAACAATCTCCTTTGTCTCCTATGAATAAGGCTAAGAAACAAAGGGAATTTAGATTAAAACTGGGTTAAAGAATGGTCTTAGTCATGATTTTACCCACAAGACTAGCATCTCCAGCAAAGAAGTAATGTTGGAAGTTAGAGAAAAATGCAATTATTATTATAAGATAAGGACTCGACACTATGTTCTATATGTTCGATAGGACCCTGGTACTAGTTTCTTGGACCACGTTATTCTTGCTTTATGCTCTCCTCATTAAAAGGAATTCATCTGTTTTTCAGAGACCCATATTTAATAGAAAATGGCCATTCTTGCTAAAGAATGACAAGAACATAAAACGACAACAAGGTGGTCCTATACACTAGTACCAGGCTCCTTTTGGGAATATAGAACTTGGTCCCAGTCCTTATCGCATAATAATATTGCTTTCTTCCCTAGAAGTTAATTAGAGCCATTGCAGGATATATTTCTGAACTTACTCTCCAAGAAATCCTTTGGATGTTGAGTGAAAAGAGATGAGCTCAAAGTCATCATAATCTGATCCTAAATCTCGCAGAACCTTCTTAAATGAGTGGAATTTCATTCCTTCTCCATAAACATTGGCTTGATATACCTGAATTTGAAGAATGAAATTTATCAAAACTGTGAGTAATAGTGAAGGAAAAATACCTTCAAATTACGCATTCAATCTTTCAGCCTTTCTACTAATCATCTAAAGGTTTGAAAATGTTAACTCTGTCAACAAGGGTAGTGTAAAAAATTATGTTCTATTTTTATACTTAAATCCTACTTTCTTATTTTATAAAGACTTTCAAATTCTTTACTAAAGCTCCCTCTTTTGATAGATTATTTTCTTATTTTTTATGGCCAAGGAAAAATAACCAAATTATACTGTAATGTTGAACAATCGTAGGCATATCTACCTCATCTGCAAGTAGAACAAGTCTTTCTTCCTTGCAAAATTTAATGATGTCTCTGACATTTTCATAAGATAGGACCTGACCTAGGAGAAACATAAAAAATCATAAGAATGTTCAACTGAGATTTTTTCATCCTTAAAAATTCGCTATCACTGTACTAATGGTAATGAAAAGCAAAACTTGAAGATACTTCAATGGACCATGATTAAAACAGAGAATTTCTGGCGTTACATGTACCTGTTGGATTGCCAGGATTAATAACACACAGAGCACGTGGAACACAGTGGGGCTTGGCTTCATTCAAAGATCTTTTCAGCTCATCAATATCAAGCCTCCAGCCATTGGCTTCATCAAGGTAATAGTTTATCTGCAGACAAACAAGATAATAATTTGTTATGGATCATAGTAGAGTCTGAAGATTAAGTGTATGCCCTCTTTGATTGAGACCATACATCAGCTTGTAACCTGTCTGAAGGTTCAAAACTGCAGAATTAGCTATAGTCTGCCCCATAGACGAAACTAAACTTTGGTTCAGTCTATCTGCAAAACAGCACCTAAATCCTTGTTTTGGGCCCCAACCATGTACTGGGATTTGAATAATAATAATAATAATAATAATAATAATAATAATAATAGTAATAATAATAATAATAACAATAATAACAATCTTTATACAGGGAGCTCACTTCACAAAGAGTGATATTCAATATACCGATTTTGATTTTTCAGTTTGACCAAAGTCAAACTAAGACCCTAAACATTGTGAGTGGCATGCTACGTCAGCTGTTTACTAGTGGACCTGGTTTAACCCTTTAAGCTCTAAGAGTGATGAGTGTCAAATTTCTCCTTATAATATCACTGTACTGATTTATAAAACAGAGTGGCCATGAGAATTAAGGACACGATCACACTAGATGAATGTAATTGATACTTCAACAAATTCTCCCCACTACTTCTATTAAAAATGTATAGGGATAACAAATGAGAATTTGAATTTTGATGTTAGGGTTTACAGGGTTATTTGGTACCTGATATGAGTTCATTTCAGATAGTGTTGCAGAGTAGAGTGGATACTGTGGAATTGGGATCATAATTCCAGCTCTACCATTTCCAGTATTGACACTTGTCTGGAGAAGTTTCAATATTGCCTTGAAAATAATATCATAAAGAAACGTTTACAAGAAGAATAAACAATTACAAACAACACCAACAACTAAACACGCCCTCTCCAAAATTCATAGGTATTCTCATGTTGTATGTCTTTAATGGCATAGTTAGAAGTTGTTAATTTACGAGTTGTAAATAAGCAATAGGCTCCAATATGGGAAAACTTGTAGGCAGTAAAATGCAACGTTCTTAATCTGAGTCATCAAAGCTGCCAAGCAAAATAATGTGTCATTTTATCCAAAAACGGTTTCCATGCCACAGTTTTCCAAAACTGACTGAGGTAAGAAATACTAGGCCTCACATAAATACTCACATTACATGCTTTGAAAAAAAAAACTATAAATAAATTAGAAACAAATTAGCTACATGTATAATAATTATTATTATACATGTAGCTCAGGCAGCATTTCACAGAACAATAAATGTCCCAACTGCGGTTCAAGGAAAATGTGTAGAGGACACCGTAGGAACAAGGTATGGTCACCCTGTGAGTAGACCCTTTTTTTGCCTTCTTGATTGTTGATTTTAAAAGGAGGCTCTGCATGAATCACATCAAGCCTTTGAAGTTGCTGCTACCCATATGCTGGACTAGTTAATCTTGTTCTCTCTTATCGAACTGGTTTTCTGAGCGCAAACATTTGTTTATTGAAAAACCGATGGTCATAACTGAGCCTGCTGTACTAGGCACATGGCTATTGAGCCTGGATTTGAAACTGTATCCCAGGAACAAGCAGCTCTCTCTCAACAAAGATCAGATCATTATGATCCCAAAGATCTTACTCAAATCAAGCAAAGTCTTTCTTGTTGATGGCAAAATCAAGTAAGTGGAAGAAAGGATCTGTTTGCAGGGTGACCTGTCACTAAAAGAGCCAGGGAACAGGGATTTTCCCTGGCTACTAAGAGCATGAGCCTTGGCTACTTTCATAAGAAACAAAACGAAAATACAACCAAAAGAACTTCCTTGCTGTACAAATATCCACCTACTAATCACATGTACCTGGCAACTTGAAAGTTAAGCGACAGCCCCAGGGTGAGGCATGTTAAGCCACTAGGGCATGTACCAATTAGTAAGAAAGAACAACGCTCTTGTGGAGCTCAATGCATTAAATCATTTCTCACCCTTATGGCCTCACTAGCTCCACTTGTAAGATAAACTGAGTTTGGATCTGAAGGATATCCATCTCTATCACCAATGTATTTGGCCACATTATTTCTAATGCCCTCCAGTCCTTGAGAATCCGAGTATGCACCTTCAGACATAAAAAATATCAGGTTAAACTTTCTTGTTACAGGAAAAATATTATAAATTGTGAGATATATACAACATTATTATACATCAGACTCACTATGAAAAATCTGATTGGTCAAGAGCATTCAATCAATTCACAATAGCTTGTGAACTTGACATGATAAATGCAATATCTGCTGCAGATATTGCATTTATCATGTCAAGTTCAACGTCTGCCTGGTTACCAAGCCCCTTGGAGTGTTCTCCTCAGAAACAGAATGGCTGAACGCTTCGCTTCTGTTTCTGAGGATGAATTATTTTCAATTAATGTTTATAAAGATTTTCCGCTAAGGATTTTTCTATTTTAATGTATACTTTATTCAGACAAAGGTTTTATTATTGTATTTTAAAATTTGTAAATGATCTTGGTTAAGCTTATCAGTGTCACTTTCACCTTAGTTTTGAAATAAAGCCATTTTTCAACAGATGAATGTCTTCTTTTGCCTATTGTTTAAAAAATGTATAATAAAACAATTACTGAATTCGGTTTTCGCATGATATCATCAATTACCAAAACCTCGTGTCTGTATTATCTGCCTCAGCCTTCCGCTTCGGAAGATAACACAGACCTCGGTTTTGATAATTCATGATATCATGCTCAACCTCATCCAATAATTGTTTATTATCTGCAGGAGAAATGAGATGTTAATAATTCTACATGCACCTACCCATACTAAACCCCCTCGTATCATTCAATATTCTTCTGGCTTTCGCCTTCGCATCAGCTGGAAAGTCAGATGTTTCCAAAAGCTCTGGACAAATGCACATGGCAATAACCTAAAATACATTTAGAAGAAAAAAAAAACTTAAGTTAATGATCAATTACTAAAGCTGTAATTCAACTGATCTACATAGCACTAGTTGATGAACACAGCACTGGCAAACCTGACGTGGAAAGGTAAGTGGTTTCATTCCAAGGGCATGAGCGTCTCCAATGTTTGCTTTGACCACTTCTTTGTATGGTTTTGGTGCCCCCTAAAGGTTAAAAGAAAGTTAAACATTATAAATTGTTGTCTAGTCACAGATTATGTAACAGTTTTCCTTTTAATACGGTTTATAAAGAAAACTCTGCATTTTATGATTGTCGGGGTTAGCGTAAGAGGCCATAAGAGCTTTTATGCCTATGACCTTGAGGAAATAACAAAAAAAAATCAGTGTGAAAAGTGGAGCAACAAAAGCTTGCCAGAATCAAAATTGCAAGAAAAAAAATGTGTCCTTTCTTGTCCTCCTCCACTAACGAGTTTATGACATAAACCAATCAATCTGCTTTCCTGTGTTCTCTCCTATTCTCTTCTCTTGCTCCAATGAATGAGTAGGAGAGAAATGGGAATGAGGTTGCAAACCACTGACAATAATATAATTAACTTTGTTATATAACTGGAAAATTTTTCCCAACAGCATACATTCTCATTAGTTACTTAGAGGTCACATAACATCTAACAATGAAACTGTTTCCCGTCAAAATCTCTGAGCAGGCAACATTACAAAATTTGTGACGTCAGAGGGTAACAGTGCACTCAATGCACTGTTACCTGCGAATGTCGACTGATGACCCTCATAACAGCGAGGTTTATTGAACTTCCAGCTATATAACAAATCACTTTATAGCTGGTCCCTCAGCAAACAGTTAATTTTGTTTCCCTCAAATCTCAGTGTTTCCTGAGGCTGACAAGGGAAACATTGAGACTTGAAGGAAACAAAAATATTTTTTGTTAATTATTAACTGTTTCCCGAGGGACCAGTAATTCAGAATTTTGTAAGCAGAAACAGAAGTAGCCTGCGAACGGCAGAAGTTTCTCCTTGCTTATCGCCTCTGAGGGACGTTTCGCGAGGAGGAACGTCTGCGACTCAGTGACAGAAATTCCATACTGATGACGCAAAATCTGTCCGGAATCCCATCAGAAGCGCTAATTGGTCGACGGAGTAGTTTCATTGTTCTAGCTATTGTTTACAAATGACTGACAAAAGACAAAAGGCCACAAAGGTCAAATGTAAACACGATGAATCTCGAACAAAACAGTCAATATTTGTGGAGCATAGTCTTCTCTAGAAGAAGCATTTGAGTTTTGCAGGAGCTCATTCACAGATGAACACAACACTTTTCCAAAATTGACCAGGAGAAATGTAAAATTGAACAAATTTGCATTTGGAACCTCATGACTACCGGATTTATTATGTAACCATTGATTTATGTCATCAGTATGGAATATCTGTTGCTGAGTCACAGACGTTCGTCCTCACGAAATGTCCCTCAGCGGCAATGAGTGAGAAGAAACGTCTGCCATTCGCAGGCTAGAACAGAAGAATAACCCAGTTAGTTCTCCTGTGTCTGCATGACTCCAGCAGTTGAGTTTTTACTACAATGTAAGCAAAGTAGAAACAGAACTTAGTTTTCGCTAGATCTCTGATGAGTTCAGCTCTGACTGTTCATGTGACTCATGATGTCAATGAAACCTGTTTCATCCTTTTCCCTCTTTCCATAATTCCACGCCCCCTTGCCACCCTCTTTTCCCTGTCCCATATTAAATTTTTTGATATTTTAGAGAAACCAAAGTCGAAGGCCAAACTCAACACAAACATTTTCTTTAAATATCGCACCAACCACCACAGTGAGTCGGTTGGTAGTTTAGTCCAATGTTTATTGTCGAATACCACATGTAAAGCACTACTCATGCAGCCTCACACGTTTTCTTGCTATTTCTGCGATCATAGACGTTCAACGAAATTGTAAAACCTACGCTTAGGGCGATTTTAGAATTTTAAAAATGCGTAAGATTAAGTTTTATTCAGGACTAAAAATAACTATAAAAACGTACCTTCGCTAATTCTTTTTCCAAAACTCCCGCTCGCTCTACAATCGCCCCTCTCACTGCATATTCGATCTGTTTCACGAAAGGGTTCATCGTTTCTCCTGTGAGAATTTTGGCGCTGGAACATTTTCCGTTGACTAAAGAGAAGGAACGAGATTTAAATGATGACACCAAACATCTTCTACCCCAAACGCTTGATATAAATCGGCAAGAAGACATGTTTTGCCCAAAAACTCAGACAGAAATAGCGCTGGACTGAGTCTTTTTGAAAAATTCATAAACTCATGGTCACGTACAGGGGTTAATTATATAGATGATCGTATTACCTACGGAAGCCATTGTTCGAGCTTTCGGAAATCTTCGGCAATTTAGTCTTCTTGCATNCTGGAACATTTTCCGTTGACTAAAGAGAAGGAACGAGATTTAAATGATGACACCAAACATCTTCTACCCCAAACGCTTGATATAAATCGGCAAGAAGACATGTTTTGCCCAAAAACTCAGACAGAAATAGCGCTGGACTGAGTCTTTTTGAAAAATTCATAAACTCATGGTCACGTACAGGGGTTAATTATATAGATGATCGTATTACCTACGGAAGCCATTGTTCGAGCTTTCGGAAATCTTCGGCAATTTAGTCTTCTTGCATGACATTTAGTGCCATTGGTGTTAGTAAAAGAGCAAGTGGCTAAAGAAAACTATTACAGTAAAAGAAACTCATATAAAAACATGCAAAACTCGATAGGGTGGACATGTAAAGTTTTCGGTAATAGTTCGTATCGACAACAATTCGATTAATAATCGGAAATAATCGCTACAACTTCGGCTGAAAGACGATCTTTGGGAGATACTCGGTCACGCTCTTCATGCAACAAACGAAAAGTGCTCATTTTTTTCTTCAGTTTCTCTTCCACACATGGTCCATGGCATTTCACATTAAAACTGTTTTTCTTTTGCAAAATAGCTGGATGTCCTGGTAGAGTCTATACCACTGCGTTACATTTTTGTCGCGATTGCACTTTAGGGTATTCTCGCGAACGACTATATCAGCTGTTTGTTCACACGTACGGCAGACTTGTCATTACTTATCCAGCTCCGGATCCCTAATGAAGTGTACGTATATAATTCAAGAATTAGATGACTGGGTCTGAGCGATATTGGTGACCTGGCTATAACAGAAAAGCGAGAGCTTTTACCAACAGGCATGACAGCAGGCATTCAGAGTTGACGATCTACAGGATACTAACACATTTTTAGCGCTTTACCTACTAGCTCCTACTGCGAGAGTCCGGTGGTAAACACAGGGTGTTGCAAACTTTGGGTGATCGTTCAAGGAAATAAATTAATTTCAGCATAATTTCAAACTGGTTATAATTTAAACTTCAGGTTTTTGAAGAAGGCGCACGAGAAAGTTTTCAGATGAAGGATCAGGATTAAGGACAGATTGTGAGATGAATTTGAGAAACACTACGTTCTGTCTTTGGAGTCGAATAATTTTTTTTTTTTACGGTGTTTAAGAGAGAAATGTTACAAACTCGAACAACGACTGTCCCTTTTCCTCATTAAAAATTCAGTAGAAGTTGTGGCGATGTGCCCTAGATTTCAAACAGAAGATATCCTATCCTAGTTTCCGTGTTTTACTATGACAACTAGGACAACAACGCCTTGCCCAGCTGTAAATGAACCTTTTAAAACATACAAAAACACTAACATTTGATGTTTGTCAGTTTCACAGCGTTTCAAGTAATAAAATATTATATTACGTAAGTAACTCTATGTGTGTTTTGTTTATGGTAATCGAGAGGACATTTTCGGAACCATATTGTAATTTCAAGGTGTGAGGAACAAATAATTCTTGCTCAACGGTACATAAATATTACATGAAATGTTTCTAAATCTTTGGTCCAGTTGGCAAAGCCGTGAGTAAAACACTCGTCCATATTGAAACCTTTCAGAAACTGTACTGTATGTACTTTACAATAAAGCGCGCGTGCGTTCTACACGAATGCTTACCGACGAATTCAACTAACGTGCTGGAAAAAAACTATTTTTATCGAGAGACACTGAGACAAAATGATCAGAGCCGATTTAAGGCACCAACAACCCTTTATCAGTTAGCCTACCTGAGAAATCAGGCGCGTAAATTCTCTTGTTTCTTGTTTTGGCGTTCCTAATGAAGACCAAAAAAGCCAACTGTAGGAAAACTTTATATCTTACCTTGTTCCCCATTTCGAATCATATTCGATTCAACTTTTTGTAACCAATGCACACTTCCTTACACTTTCTTCGTGGCTGGTTTGAAAAAATTGGCAGCAAAACTGGCAAAATTCTTTTGTTCCTCCTTGACAGAAATAGACTCTCAGTAGGACTTTACGAATTTCGAGACGTGTCAGTGTGCAACTTGCGTGACTCGGGAACCAAGTCACGTTTCTGCCATGAATGCGTCACGTGAGTGTAATTGATTAATTACTCGTGGTGCCAAGTGCCTCCATTGTAGGCTAGCAAAAAAACAAACCGTGCATTGATACAAGAGCTCGAGGGAAGCCATTTTGATTTGTTAACTGGCCGTGACAGATTTTCTTGCCGTGGACCTGGGACTGGTACAAACTACGAGGAACGTGTAAATGGAACAGGAAATTTTTTTGGAAATACGGGCCCACCTTTTTAGATTTTCCACTTTTTCAGGGAATTTTCCAGTGGAACGAACCGACGAAACGTTTTCCATCTACCGCCGAACCGGAAATTCCGGAAATTTTGACTAAATGGAAAGCGCCCATACTATGTACAGGAATGTTCATGTCCATGTCTTCCCTTGTTTTCCCCTGCGCACCCCCTACTGCGCATAATATTGCGACATCCAAGATGGCGGCGGTTCTTCCGGCTCCGAGCGACTAAATACAGGAATGGCTCCGACCTGTAATTGGAGGATAAAAATAGTTAGTAATTAATAAGTTAAAGCTTAACTTTCAGCCACGCGTCACACTAGACAACGATATCACTAACGTCGTTGTGATGTGTGACTTCTGTTTCGTCTTACGCATTGAAAGAAGCAAGAAGTCGATGTATGAACCTTAAAATTTCACTTACACTTACACTTACACTTGTCACAGCGTTGGCAAACAGCGTTCAGTTCGAACTCAAACACTCGGAGCTATTCCTGTATTTAAACCGCTGACGGGTCAATGTACAGGAATGGCTCCGATCTGCATAAAGAGAGACTTGTCACATGATTTTCAGTGGTGTGTGGTGCCGGGAGGGGGCCGTTCTGGTGGGGTCTGGGCGATCATGACCAGATGATATAAATAACAAAACCAAAGAGCTTCACCGAAAAAATAAAAATAAAAATCAACTCAAATAAAAAAGTCGATAAAGGGATCATTACTGATTACTTATCTGACTGTCGCTGGTGATTAGCAATACGGGGTTGTTTTTAAATGATGTTTTAAAGTTTTTGTACCAGGTTGTTTTTCATCCGACAAAACTTGAACGAATCAATATATCGAAACTAAAAATAACGTGGTTGAGGTTAAGGGGACGGGGAAGAGGGTGGGGGGGGGGGGTTCTGACGCGATTATAACCAGAGGGTACAATAGAGTACTAAAGTGATGACGTCATAAAAATGAAATTTCTGAAATTATGGGATTTGTCAAGATATTCTGAAAGAACAATGTCCAAGAGGCCTACTTGCCAAAAATGAGCATTTCGGGGCAAATTGTCTCCGAGATCGTAGCCCAGTTATACTCAGAAATCTCCATACAAACCCTTCTAATTTTTTTTTGGGTCGACCCAAAAAAAGTTTAGAAGGGTTTGTATGGAGTTTTGTAAGCATAACTGGGCTACGATCTCAGCAACAATTTGCCCCAAAAAGCTCATTTTTGGCAAGTAGGCCTCTTGGACATTGTTCTTTCACAATATCCTGACAAATCCCATAATTTCGGAAATTTCATTTTTATGACGTCACACTTTAGTACTCTATACAAATAAGCTAAATAGGTTGGTCACGCAAGGTCAGAACCCTGTGGTCAAGCCTGGATGCTAAGCAGCGCGCGAAAATTTGTTCGATTCAGCTCTGCAACAGCTTGCTGTGCTTCGGAGTGGATATATACTCACTCCAACCTCGTCCCCAGGGCTTTTCCCGCCCCACCCATTTTTTAAGGGAAAGGCCCTGGGGACGAGGTTGTACTCACTCGGCAGCGATGATATTCAGAATTGTTCTAGTCTAGTGGAAGATCGTCCACCGGCGATAATTAATCTCTAGGGACTAAACTAGTTCAATTATAGGTCCTACAGGCGTTCATCAGAGTAAAGAAAAGAAAGCGATTTATCATAAACCGGGAAAAAAAGTCCGAGTGTGGCGGTGTATTTTGTGTCTTGACCTAGTTTTTGCCGGGTGATGCAAATCGTGGCAAAACAGTGGCTTTTCTTGACTGAGTTAGGTTTGTTTTGAGGAGGGACCATCAGAAAAGTGCCCTGGGAGGTACTTCCTTATATAACCATATAGGTATGTGCCACCCCAAAGAAACGGGTTATTGAGCCGTTTTGGTCTGAAAACGGGTATAGACTTTACCCACCAGTAAAGGCAGAAGAAATGCATACAAGCCTAAAAAAAGCATGTTCAAGTGCCGAACCCCCCTAGAAAACGCTTTCATTCTCCTCACCCCCTATCCCTATCCTAAGCACTGAGGCGGGCACCTCACTACTTAGGTTGACTTTATCAATCAATCGATAATGTCCACTAAGCTACCTGTGAGAAGTTTTAAATTTAGGCCTTATATATCACGGACGCAAGCAAATTATTTTTAGTTTCGATATATTGATTCGTTCAAGTTTTGTTAGATGAAAAACAACCCGGTACAAAAACTTTAAAACATCATTTAAAAACAACCCCGTATTGCTAATCACCAGCGACAGTCAGATAAGTAATCAGTGATGATCCCTTTATCGACTATTTTATTTGAGTTGATTTTGAATTTTTTTTTTCGGTGAAGCTCTTTGGTTTTGTTATTTATATCATCTGGTCATCGCCCAGACCCCACCAGAACCCCCCTCCCACACCACACACCATCATGTGACAAGTCTCTCTTTATGCAGATCGGAGCCATTCCTGTACATTGACCCGTCAGCGGTTTAAATACAGGAATAGCTCCGAGTGTTTGAGTTCGAACTGAACGCTGTTCGCCAACGCTGTGACCATTTCTCATCTCTGTTGGTACTGTTTAACACTAGAAAAAGGTTCTGCCGATATAAGTGAAATTTTAAGGTTCATACATCGACTTCTTGCTTCTTTCACTGCGTAAGACGATACAGAAGTCACACATCACAACGACGTTAGTGATATCGTTGTCTAGTGTGACGCGTGGCTGAAAGTTAAGCTTTAACTTATTAATTACTAACTATTTTTATCCTCCAGTTACAGGTCGGAGCCATTCCTGTATTTAGTCGCTCGTCTTCCGGCTAGAGCGAAAAGAACAAACAAGGGCCGCTTTTACAGAGCTTATTATTCGCTATAATAATGCCGCAGATCGGCTAAAAGCTTCCAGGTCTGCTATCGAAAAACAATGAAAAATGAAATGAAAAAATGTGCGTGATCCAGAAGAGCTCTGGGGTTGAGACCGGGGGGTGGGGGCACTTGGGTATTTTTTGGGTGGGTATGTGCCGCCCGGGACTCCAAATTGGCACCCGGTTCTAAAAAAAAATTCCCCTAAAATTGATACCTCGTTCTAGAAATGGGCCAATTTTTTATACTCCGTTCTAGAAAGTTTGTAAATTGAAATAGCCCCGTTTTTTAAAAAAGATATATCTTTATTTGTTCGACTTATACATCAATTAAATGCTTCTTCATAATCAGCAACAATTTTAAGCAGAAGATAAAGCCGCGATCCGCAATTTTTATTCCCCGTTCTAGAAAACGCCTCTGCAATGGATACCCCGTTCTAAATCAGGAGCCTCATACCCGTATAGGTAATGTATGGGAGTAACCCCCCCCCCCTCCGGGGGTTGAGATTGCGAAGTCTGCAGTGGTCTTTCACTTCGCGGCCGTTGAGTTCAGCGCTAGAACTTAACTTTTTAGTGCACTTGCAAAGTTTCGGCAGTAAGATTTTTTTCACCGACAAATTGGTGAGACCACTAGCAAATTCTTTACCTTTGAAATGCCAATCCATATCTGATATATGTAAAGGTTAGAATTGATATTTAGCATAGTCTATTAATGAGCGTGTTAGAGGTCAAGGGCCCCGAGGGCCTCTTGAAGAAAGAAGTTATTTTTGACACACGTAATGAAAACGATAGCCTGTTCCAAGCGTTCAGATAGTGGAGAGCGGTGCGAAGTAAAGAAAGCGAGGAAAAGTAGAGGGAGACTGGGGAGAGAGGCTTTTATTTTTTCGCGCTCCTTTTTACTCGCACTGCTCCCCACTATCTGAACGCCTGGAACAGGCTACGAAAACGATAGCTCCAAAACCACGAGGAACAACAACAACACGCGAATTAGCCTGCGTAGCATGGCGGTTTTTATCGGACGCAGTCCTGGGCGGAGATGCGCTCCCAACCAAAAGGGAAGCATGTTTATTAAGCGAAAGATTAACTCTGGCTAGCCGAAATTATCTTGAGTTTATGGAGTGANCCCCCCCCCCCCATAAGCACAATTCAATCAAGTCCCTAATCGGCTCAGGACATTATATGAAGTCTTCGATGAGTTACAGACCATCACAATTAGCTTTCATGATTTTGTCAGTGATGAAATACGTGCGAAAATAACCCAGAAACCGAACTTTGAATCATAGAAAATTCGAATTTTGGGAGAAAATGGGATAAATTCCAAATTAAAGCACAGAAAAGCTCATAACTCGATTTTATCCGGGAGATTTGGTGACCCGTGCTGGAGACCGGGAGATTGTTGTCGTATCCGGGATACTCCCGGATAATCCGGGAGAGTTGGCATGTATGCAACAGAAACTAAGGTTCCTAAAAAAGAGTTAAGCCTGGTAGGGCTTTCCACAAGCTAAGTTGCTCGAGATTTTCTAATGAGCCAACAAAACTGTTGAATGACCTTCCTTACCCGAGGCACTCAAGTCAGTGGAGTGTGAATCTTCGTCTACCATTTTGAATTTTCTCTTAAAACTGCTGACCTAGCTACCCGGCTACTTTTATCTTGCGCCCATGATCTGCCCCAAGGGGGCGGATTTGGCTGCTTTTTTAACAGGAAATTCATAAATTGTCTACTAAAACATTGCGAAATATGGAAGAAAGGCTAATTTTAGAACTAAAGCTCCTCCGATATCTCAGAACAATTCTCTTGCTCAGAAATAGAAGTTAATTAGAGAAATTGCTCAGAATGCAAAAAGTTTCCGAGCAACTTGTGGAAAGCCTTAGCTATGCCAGCAGCAAAGTGAGCCTTTTAATGTCGTACATATGTCCAGTACTATTGCCCCTTCATTGACCACGGCAATTATTTTCAGACATAGGATCCCATGGGCGTTTATATAGAAAAAGAAGCCTTCATTTGCCGGTGGACGAAAAATCTGGTCAAGGTTCTTCCCAGAAAAGAGATCATACGTTTCTGGGAAACTGCCCACCTACCCCACCCCTAAGCCATCATTTTGCCCAAACTGAGAAGTAATTGTTAATGTTGACTTAGGGGAGGGGTAGGGGGGCAGTTTGCCAGAGGGAAAAACCTTGGGACAACAGAGCGATTAATATCTCGTGCCCAGATCTCAAGCGGCTAAGTTCTGTTCTGCGAGAATGTAGATGATAGATAGATATAGATAGATAGATAAATAGATAGATAGATAGTTTAATAACCAATACATAGCAGCCCGAAGGCTGAATTGCGTAATTACAAATGATTGAACTGATAAAATGTGTATATAAAACTAAGTGCAGTAAATATAAAAGTATAAAAAATATGATAAAAGGACTAAAAATCTACGTATATATATTATCGTTGCAGGATCTAATAATAAAACTGTTCCTAAAACGATCTGTCTTGCATTTTGGTACGATGGCCGTTAGTAACAACAGAGAAGTCGAGAATTATATAATTTGCATCAAAAATAGCCTGCGAATATCCGCCCTGGTTTTCCTGGTCAGAGGTTGCCCTTTTGAAAGCACGTGGATTCTTATAAGATGGCGGCCTTCAGCTGATAAACATTTTGAAATCTGATTTTAGCTTCAACATTATGGGAAAGACAAAAGCAAAGAAACGGTCCTTTTTTAGGAACAGGCCTACAGGCCTTCCGAGTGTGAAAGAAGCGCAAAGGGAAGAGCAAGAAAATAATGCTGATGTCGTTGCAAAGACTTCACCCTTGATGGAAAAGGTAAATACAACTGAAGATAAAATCTTCCTTGGCTCAGATTAATAATTGCTTTATTTAAATACCCCGCCTCTGAGCCTTTGAGTCTCTTAACAATTTGCTGGCCTTTTTTTCCACGGGATATGTTATTACTGGGGCGCGGGAGTCGTTCAAAAGACAGACGTCTTAATTCACGGTTTTTACTGTCACGCCATCAAAAATATAAATGCAAATCATTCAGTACAGAAAGTCTAGAATCTGAGAAATGAAAGAAGATAAATCTACAAAAAGCCCTGCCAAGAATCAGGTCTGTGCAATATTTCGTATGTGAGATATTCAGAAAAACGTTTTACCCAAATTTATAAAGCTTTGTATGGAAACGCCATGTTGCTGTCCCTTTCAGGGACACCAATATGGCTGCCGGAAACCAACAGAAACATCTGTTTTTGAGTTTTCCTACTAATGCCTGAATTCTTCGCTTGAGGAATTCATAAAGATTAAAGTAATATTTATTGTGAGACAAGAAATATTTAGATAGCAAAATCTCCCAAAATCAGTAACGTTTTTAACCCACATAAGAGCTTCCCTGGCTGTCAGCGAAATGCTGTGTTATGCAAAAGCCTGGAAAGCCTGAAAAACCTTTTTGAACCAAAAATTTGTTTATAGAAAGGCGTTCAGGTACTGTAATACCTCATGAAAGTAGAAACTCAGAAGAATCAATAGTTTTTTTTGAATTTTGGTGACGTCATGTGAAAACCTGAGAATTGATGGTTTAGTGTGTATTTTACAAGTTAAGCTGTATTTTGGCTTGAATAGTGGGGAATTTTGAAAAGTTGGTAAAGGTGTAGAGTAAATTGGGAAAGGAAATTGTATTTGTTTGGCTTAATCTGTGCTAGATTGAAAATTGCCAGTTAAATACTACTTTTTTAACCTCTGGTTGGTCATTACATTAAGGCTGAGGTCTGAGATTTCCCTGTAATGACTGAATGGACAAGGTTAATAAGTTATTTATTGTATGGCCTTTTCATTATGGACCTGAGTCTGCGATCAAGAATAAATATTATTAAAACCAGTTACTATAATTTAAAAAAACACATCACCACAATGAATGATTCATTGTGGTGAATGTATTGCAGGCTCAAGAGAACAATTATTGTACTCTTGAGCCCGCCATACATTCATGTGACACTGGTCAGTGGATAATACACTTTTTGACAGCTGTCAATTGAAAATAACAAGGATGACCATAAGGATATCCACTATCAAGTTAAACACAGATTGTATATGCCTTTGACACCTAGTTAGTAATGCCCGGTCATTAGAAGAAAATAATAATGGTTGTTCATTACAAGAAAACAGCCAATCAGAGTGCACATACTATTGAAGCTTTATAATAAAGAGCTATATTTCAATGTATTGTAGTGTCTATTTCTAAATTTTCATGGCCGTTGTCCATTTTAGCTAACAAGTGCAAATCCATCTGAGCGTGAGTGTGCCTGTGCAGGTCTGGCAAATTTGGTGTTTGATCCAGGAGCCATTCCATCACTTCTTCAGCAAGATATTGTACGAAGGCTTGGACCATTGTTGATTGACTGCAACAGAGCAATACAGGAGGGTGCTGCAGGAGCTTTGAGGTAAAAAAATGTAAAAGAAGAAAAACTTCTAAACAGATGTAGAAATATATAACAAACATAAAAATAATAATAATAGTATAGAACTATTTGCCTATGGGGATGTGAATGGTGTTGGGTATATCCCAAGATGTGAGGCATTGATTTATGTATCTAGCACTTTGCACCCACGCTGAGAGGGATGGTTGTTTTAATATTTGCCAAAATATTATTGGATAAAAATGAACACTCAAAAATAATAATGTTTTAAATAAAACATGTCACTTAACAAAAATTATTGTCTTATATGCATCAGTATGCCTATGTCGAGATATGAAACGTGCAGGAAGTTTGGAGAGGATGAAAGAGGTGTAAGAGTTACCTGAGGTGGAGCTGAGAGCAACTCTAGCCTCTTGAGAGGATCTAATTAAAGGGCTTTGACTGGCAAAATTTGGTGTTTTGGATTGGCGGTTGCTTACAGGAGGTGGTGGCATTTGAGATGTAACAATACGATCAACCCTCCATGTGTGACCACAGTACAACCCGGATAACTCAAACCCGGATAACTTGAACTTCCCACTAACTGGAACTGAGTCCTACTTCCCTTGGATTTCACCGCAGTTTTCAGTCGTTTTTACTCAGTTAAGGTATCATCCAGGGTAAAAAATCGTCATTTTTCGAAATTTTCGATTTTTAGATAGTTAAGTAGAGCTCATCAAGAGCTTTCTTTTAAAAAAAATTCTAGGAAAAAATGTTTTTTCTGTGCAAACTTATGGAGCGCAAAAGTTTTTTCTATGCTAATTATTTTAATTGATCGTTGACAAGTCCTGTCATACTTGATACGCACGCCACTGTTGAACCAAGCTAATCACGCAATTTGACAGAAATCGTGGTCTACAAGTATAGTGCTCACTGTTTTTCCCTGGATTTTGGAAGTGAGTGCCTCCAAAGAAGAAAAAAGAGCCAAGCTTGTCCGTTTTCGTCCTTGACTCCAAGACGAAAGAAGACGACAAAATCGTTTTGCAAAGTGTGGGCTTCGAAACTAGCAGAGAGCGACAAGGGCTCCTACTACAATCAAGGAAAATGGCTTAAGGATGACAAAGCTTCTGAAAAGCCAGATGAAACTACCGCGAAATCGAGTTTCACGAGTTTCTTATCGAGCGGAGCGAGCTTTTTAGGCCGCGAAGCGAAGCGGCCAGGCGTGCGAAAAATTCGCAACAGGTCCCGCGCCATATAAAAATCGGACGAAGGACTTTTTTCAAAGTCTATTGTAACGGGAGAGCAGCTTCAAGAAAAACTCCAGGAAGCGGTTTGTTGTCGATTTTTCCAGGGAAGTGTTGAACTTTTGGAATATGTATCGAGTAAAAGTTGGCTGGCTCAGAATGAAAACTGCCCGTCGCAAATAACTAAAGATGTTTTCTCGAAAACAGAAGGATCGAACAAAGCAGAGCCTTTGAAATAAATTGTTCATCTCTTGTCGGGTTTCGTTTGTAACCTTTTCCTGCTGTGTCACTATTGTTGTCCCTTTTCTGGTATGCTTCAACATTGACAGCTTAGGTGTTATAATCTGTTATAATCTCGTCACGGGTAATAGGCCGCCAAAAATCTTTTTCCCCTGTTTTCTCGAAATGAAAATCAGGTCAAGTTGAGGGTACGTTTCAAACTCCAAGTCGGCAACCCGTGAACCAATTTGGCTGAAATTTGGCTAACTTACTGTCAGATAGTTTTTCTAAAAAACGGTGTCTGCGAATTTTGATTTCTTTTTTCGTTTTCGAGTAAGAGTATTTTTTCATAGGTAGTGCTAATGATTTGCTATCCTTATCTTCAACTGCTTATAACAAAAGAACAAACCCACTGGACAAAAATCTGAGACACGGTTTTTCAGTCAAACGTGTTAAGAAGCGAATGAGATCTTAATTGGCTTCTTCCGTTTATTTTTCGCTGGCCTGGACTTAAATTTACAGTGACACCCACTTTTACAAAAAGCTTCTCATTTCTGAATCGCGTTAATGTTTTGATTTTTTAAAAGGAATAAGCAATAATCTGAAACTATTAAGCTTTCAGAAAATGTACGGTTTATGGGGGTATTTATTAAAAGCAAAGGCGCTAGCGCCGATCAACGCGGGGAGGGTGCTTGAGGGTGGATGATACCTTAACTCAAACTCGGATTACTTGAATTCCCCTCTAACTCAAACTTGATTTCCTTTCCTTGATCAAAATTTCACTGAAGTTTACCCCAATAATTCAAATTCTGGTTCTTGTTACCCCACTCAGATGCCATCCCATTAGCTCTTCTTGTTGTATAAACACTAAAACTAACTGTAAATCAATTTGATTTTTATTAGTGCAAGAAACAGATCGCGTTCGATCATAAAAATGCATAATCATGTTACCGTTCTTGATGAAATTAGCAACTTTGCACTGTACTATGCACACTGAAGTGCTGATTAATCAGTATTATCAATATTATTAAAGTGGCGAATTGAAAATTCAATCAATCCAGATAACTTGAACCCCTGCTAACTCAAAGTGTTTTTTATTTCCCTTCAGAGTTTGAGTCACTGGGTTTCTACTGTCATAATGTTAATAAATGTCAATAGTAAATAATTATTGTTTTCATAATTATATGAATGTTATCGTTCATGTTATGATCATTTAAAGACTGTGTTAATACTTTGCAGGAATCTAAGCCTCGGAGGTGGCCCTGATGTGTGTGTCAAAATGGTTGAACAAGATGTAATGACTCCTCTTACTACTTTTGTACGACAGGTACACTATGTGCAATTTACGTCGATGATAATAATGATATTTTTATTATAGCCAAACCATTAAATTTTGTCTTTTAACACCATATTCTTTATATTTCAGTCTCTTGATGCTTTGGGTGCTATAAATGAGAGTACAGGCAATTCAGAGTTTAAAAGGCAGTCAACAAGCTTAGCAATACAAGCTGTAAGCTTACTCTGGAATCTTTGGTGAGTAAGGTTATCTTAATATCAAATCATCAGATAAGTTTTTCATTTTCACTGGGAGTGGCCAATGCAAATTACAAAATGCAGCATGATAATAATAATAAAAAATTGATAATAAAAAAGTATGGGAAGTGCCTGAGATTTTAGTGAACTAACTTGAAAGATCATCTTGTTTATATTTTTAATGACTATTTTTTCTTTACAGTGAGAGCAGTGGTACAGCAGTGGAAATTTTTAACAGTCAAGGACTTCTTCCTTACCTTGTTTCAAGCCTAAAAACTGATCTTTATCCAACAACTGTTGCTATTCCAGCTGGTGAGGTTTTCTGCATATAAATTTTACTAAAAAGTCTAAGTAGTTTTGTACATCGTTTATGATCATTTAGTAACTATACTGTCAATTTTAATAAATTATTAGAATTAATTTTGTCATCAGAATTTAGATTTTCTGAATACATTAAAAATGCAGATTATTAAAAAATAAGATGATTTATTATTGTAAGTTATTTATAGCATATTGCCGACCACAAGTATTTCTTTTTTGGAGTTTAGATTTTTTTATGGGATTTAAACTTTTTTTTTGTTTTTAAGTAAAAGCATTTTTTTTGTTTTTCTGGGGTAGCATCCTTCCAGACTCCCCTAGCAGCTCGCACCCTCGGCACTCACGTGATTTGTTGGTTATTGAAAAATATCCCAATTTTACGTTCCCAAAAGATTGGACTGTCAGTGTGTCATTGTTTTTATGTCTGCTCTTTCAGCTACATTTCAGTTTCATCTGTATTAACAATGTTTTTTAACGTTTGATATGATATAAGGTAAATCACTGCTGAATGACCAAACATGTTTCAACTGCAATCTGGGACAAAATTGTTGAGACATTGTCCTCAAATAGGGTAACTTCGGAAAACAAAACATTCCTCACCCCTCCTCCCTTGCCTTCACTGAAAGTTGAAGTGTTTTTTCTACAGGTAGCTCAAACAGTAGTACAACATCGCATGGAGGGGATAGGAGAGGGGAAAATTTATTCTCTCTTTTTTAAGTTAGCAAAACGTTAGTGTGTCAACTAATTTTGTTGCCTATTCTGGCTAGTTAATATTTTGAGCTGTTGATCTAACTGATGTTTCTATTTGTCCCTTGTAGCCCAGTGTCTTCATACTGTCACTGAAGATAATGTGTCAGCTGCTCAGCTTATTTGTGGCTCAAGTGATATGATGAAGACTCTTGAGAAGTCATTGATGGCCGATGGTTCATCCAGTGACATGCTACTGCTCAAAGTCTTAACTGCAGGTAACACCTGGGGGATGTACTGTATTTCCTCAAAATTAATAATAGCCCCCTTCGAGAGAAAGGTCTAATTAATCACCTCCCCCTCTATAAGTTACCCACTAGGGATACCCATAGTGGTAAACTTGGAGGGTGAAGCTTAAGTGGAGTCTGATCCAGCAAAACTGTATGATCAGTGAAAGTTCAAGCTCTGTTGCCTAGAACATTAACATTGGTCATGGAACCAAATTTGGACCACTTTAAATGCCAAAATGTTCAGTTTATTTGACGTGAGTATTTTTTGATTTAATGGCAAAATAGAACAAAATATTTAGGTCCATCTTTAAGCGGGCAATATTTTAAATAATTGCCTCCCTTGAATAATCACCCTGTTTCGGTGAGAAAAAAGAAATGATTGTCCCTGGCTATTATTCGAGGAAATACGGTACTCCCTTATACGGAAAGATGCTACGGATGGGGTATGGTTTATGTCCTTTTGATTCTGTCGTGAAGGGTATTGCCTGCATGACTGATTTTATTTGCTAAATGAAATTTGTTTGTACTCCAACTACAGAAATGACTGTAGGGTGAACTTGCTCTATTATTGTAATTACCAGTAATGGTTTTGGAATGTATCTTGTCCTTTGTCCTAAACAGGGTTAATTTAGGGTGTGGCCCTTAACAGGATAATTGTATTTTATGATTTTTTTTTGTCCTAAACAGGGTCAGGGCTTCAAACCCTCAGCAGCTCACCTTTTCCCAAATATTGGTTGACTGAAAACCATGTAAAGTTGATCCAAAAATAACAATGAAAATGAAAAAGTAAAAGTGACAACTGCTGTGTATTTTTTAGAGCTGCACATGCCCATTGTATTTGAATCAGGAGGCCGCAAAGTTTTTGACTTATAAACAGGGATTTGGGCAGTTTTGGCTCATTGTAGCCAGACAGTGACCAGAAATCAGTTTGACTACCTTCAAAAGGCGATTTTTGGCCAAATTCGGTTGCAGTCAATTTTAATCCATTAACTCTTTATTAAAGCTGGTATAGATGTGAATCCAACTCCTTGATTTGCCTCCAGTGAGTTTAGCATGTTGTAATTCAAAATATTGTTTTGTTTCATCATCTTTAAAAAACCCTCAAGGAAGAGGATAGATATTATTATTTGCACTAAGTAATGTTCTACATAAATTAACAGAAAGGTTGATAAAGTGATCCTGTTTTCTCAGAAAAGATTTTTCTTTGTTGTCAGGTGTGTTGTATAACATCCGTTACGCTATACCAGTGTGCAGTTTTAATGAGCTTCTTCAAGCTGTTGTTGGGGTCTTGGCTCAAGTGCTTGATGTCAACTGCTTTGATGTTATTGGTAAATTACTTCCAGAACCAACTAAGGTATGTGCAAACTTAAATAATAATAATATTATTTTGATGAACAGTTAATGAATTAAGTTTTGGTACGTTTTGTATTCTGTACAGCCCCCAAAATGATCTCCTGAAATGATTCCTACCCTGTAATGATCTCCAATTCCACCCTGAAATGATACTGTCCTTGAAATGATCCTTATTTCTCTTCATGTCAACCCGGAAATGATCCCCAATTAATATTAGGCATGGAATGATATCCTAGAACTATGGATCAAGCAAAATGCACAACATTAATTTAAGTTTCACTAACAATCTTACTCAATTTCCTGATGGATTCCATCTTAAAATGTGTCAGGTCATTGTGTTGATTGTTATGTGAAATTTTTTAAGTGTGCCTCACAAAAAATGAAGAAAACAGGCCCTGTGTTCCATGCGACTGTGTTAATATGGCCCCTTAACATCCTGTATGTAGTATAATAATGTTATGTTTTAATGATGTGTGGAATGCAGGAAAACGCTAGTGTCCTCTTTTTATAGTGGTAGTCAGGGTTCTGTGCTAGAAATTCATAATTAAATTATAGCTGGCTGTCTCTGATCTCACATAATTGTCCATTATCTTGCTACAATCCATAATAAAGAGAGAAGTGTTTTTTGTAAATTGAATAAGAGCATTTTGTTTTTTATAACGCTTTACTACACAATCTTCAGTGATTCCTGCATTATACATTATAGATTGAAGAAGTTCAGATGCTTTTGAATGCCCAGCAACTGGCTTTAGAAATTCTGTCAAACATGTGCTGCCCTGATGGTGAGTAATAAATTTCTTACAAATGTATTTTGTAATTTTTTTATAAATTTTATGTTAACTATTTTAAATGTCAACATTATTTCTCTCATGCTTGTTGATATCAAACATTATTATACAACTTTGATGTAGTCTTTCATCAATTAAGAAAAAATGAACAATAAAGGAGGCCTGATCATCAGGCCAATTTTCTTCATTTAACTATAAAATAGGACAATCAGTGAGAGCAGTGGTACAGCAGTGGAAATTTTTAACAGTCAAGGACTTCTTCCTTACCTTGTTTCAAGCCTAAAAACTGATCTTTATCCAACAACTGTTGCTATTCCAGCTGGTGAGGTTTTCTGCATATAAATTTTACTAAAAAGTCTAAGTAGTTTTGTACATCGTTTATGATCATTTAGTAACTATACTGTCAATTTTAATAAATTATTAGAATTAATTTTGTCATCAGAATTTAGATTTTCTGAATACATTAAAAATGCAGATTATTAAAAAATAAGATGATTTATTATTGTAAGTTATTTATAGCATATTGCCGACCACAAGTATTTCTTTTTTGGAGTTTAGATTTTTTTATGGGATTTAAACTTTTTTTTTGTTTTTAAGTAAAAGCATTTTTTTTGTTTTTCTGGGGTAGCATCCTTCCAGACTCCCCTAGCAGCTCGCACCCTCGGCACTCACGTGATTTGTTGGTTATTGAAAAATATCCCAATTTTACGTTCCCAAAAGATTGGACTGTCAGTGTGTCATTGTTTTTATGTCTGCTCTTTCAGCTACATTTCAGTTTCATCTGTATTAACAATGTTTTTTAACGTTTGATATGATATAAGGTAAATCACTGCTGAATGACCAAACATGTTTCAACTGCAATCTGGGACAAAATTGTTGAGACATTGTCCTCAAATAGGGTAACTTCGGAAAACAAAACATTCCTCACCCCTCCTCCCTTGCCTTCACTGAAAGTTGAAGTGTTTTTTCTACAGGTAGCTCAAACAGTAGTACAACATCGCATGGAGGGGATAGGAGAGGGGAAAATTTATTCTCTCTTTTTTAAGTTAGCAAAACGTTAGTGTGTCAACTAATTTTGTTGCCTATTCTGGCTAGTTAATATTTTGAGCTGTTGATCTAACTGATGTTTCTATTTGTCCCTTGTAGCCCAGTGTCTTCATACTGTCACTGAAGATAATGTGTCAGCTGCTCAGCTTATTTGTGGCTCAAGTGATATGATGAAGACTCTTGAGAAGTCATTGATGGCCGATGGTTCATCCAGTGACATGCTACTG